TGTTTTACGAAGAGTCATGATATGACTCCACAGGCTAGGCACTGTACCACAAGATCAGCTTGAACCAACCATAAAGTTGGTAGTTCAAATTCATCAGCCACTCCTCAGAAACCTTATACAGGAATTAACTTGACAGCACTTAACAACAGCATGGTGCACAGTGGGAGTCCCAAATCCATTTTCAGCCCCAACATAATAAACGCCACTCCACTGAGTTCTTTGTGATGATTAACCAGCAATGTAAACAGTGAGCTTACAAGGGGGACTTCCCTAGACAGCCCAGGAGAGGCAGTCTCCCTCAGGGATTTGCCTGAGTGAGCACTTAATGGAAATTATCCTTAACAACTCAGGTGCTCGGAAGACCCCAGAACTAATCTTGTGAACTTTTCTAATCTGCAGCCTTGTATGTATCCCAATCATGGTCACTTTCCTAATTATGGTCCCTTTCCCACTTATGTAGTCCCACCTTTGACAGTGATGAGTTGATCTGCTGCCAATCATGATTTTACAATGAATTTCTTTTGGTTTCTGTGCTCTATAATTGATAACATAGCTGTGAATCTTTTGGACACCATTATGGCCTCATGCTTATGGTTTCCTTCATCTGGATGATTTATCTGTGTCTTATCTTTGTCCTAGATATGACTTATAATAAAGGGTCTCTGTAAAATATATTTGAATTTGGGTATTTCTCCTGTTAGAACAATTCATTCAATATTACTTTACTGAGTGTCTCTTAAATCAGTTCTGTGCTTGGGATGAGGACTCTAATAGAGATAAAATTCAATTCTGTCAAGAAATAAACAGTCAATGAGCTCTTAAATTCAGACTGGTGAATAGACAATTATAGCAACAGGTGATAGATGTTACAGTAGGAATAAACAGCACCTGGGTTCCCAGTAAGCAAGTAAACAAGGACTTAGTTGTGCTTACTAATCTGTTACTAACCATTTTCAAAGTTTTTCATCACAAAGCCCAAGTAATCCCATGCTTACCTGGTTTACTGGGTCCTCTGCCCTGTCAGGGATTCTAAATTTGAAAAGAGGCTTTGATTCTGTGGGTTGGGAGAGAAACAAATGCCAGCCATATCTAGAAGTGCAGAATCTTTGATGTGGTGAAAAAATGTGAAATTATTCACTACAGATTAGTCAATAAGCACAAGTAATCTGACACTGGGTATAAACACAGGTTATAACAGGATCACATAGACAGGGTCTCTAATGCAGATGTTCTTTGGGGAATGTAACTACTACACTTAAACACAAAGGATAGGTTAGAAAGCAAAGATAGACAAGGAAGAGCAATTTCAGGCAATGTAAACAGGCAGAGTCAAAGGTGACCTGGTTTCCCCAAGCTTTGTAGATCTCCAAATCAGAGAGCACTGGGAGAACTTCCAGGCAACAACAATTAAGAGATAAAGAGTAGGGATACTAAGGACAAAGAAAGTAGAGGGAAAAAAGATGGTCTCAAAACTTTGGAGATTAGAAAGCAGGTGGCCCTTGTAACTGACTTAGATGACCTGAGGAATATAAAACCCATGAAGTTAGGGAAGTTTAAAAACAAGCCAGTCCCTCCTGCAGAACTACAGAAAGACTCAGAAAACAAAAGATAAGGCTGAAACAGGATTACTTGAAAGTCTGTTTGTTGTTGTTGTTATTGTTGGGTACTGCTGAGTTCTTTCAAACTCATAGTGACCCTATGCTCAGCAGAACAAAACACTGCTTGGTCCTGTACCATCCTCTCACATGGCACAAGATGGTTGACATGTTTGAGTCCATTGCTGCTGCCTCTGTGCTAATCCATCTCGCTGACCTACTTTTCCAAGCATGATATCCTTCTCTGGGACTAGTCCCTCCAGATAATATATATGTCCAAAGTATTAGAGAAAAAGTCTCACCATCCTGGTTTCTAAGAGGTATTCTAGCTGTACTTCTTGTTTGTTCTTCTGGCAATCCGTGGTATTTTCAACACCATAATTCAAATACGTAAATTTTTCTACAATCTTACTTATCCATTATCAAAGTTTCACAAGCATATGAGGCAATTGAAAATACCATAGCTTCAGTCTGGCACCCCTTAGGCCTCAAGCCTATATCTTTGCTCTTTTAAAACACTTTAAAAAGGTCTTTTGCAATCAATTTGCTTAATGCAATATGTCATTTGATTTTTTTTTTTTTTTCATTTCCACCCTTTTCCAAGACCACTCACGTTGATATGTGACTTTTTTCAGTTACTCTCAAAACATTGCTGGAATAAGAATGATTTATTGTAATGAATCTCCATGCCCTGGGGTTTACACTTGCTAGCTGAAAGTATAGTTCCTTCTATGCTTTTGGTTAAAAAAATAATAATAAACAAAAAAACTTTGGTGAGCATACACATTTGGAAAAAACACAGCTGGAGAAACTGTTTACCCATTTGTCCATTCATTTATTCATTCATTCACACATATAGTCAACATTTCCTGAGCACCCACTTGAGATAAAGTGGAAATTAAGACAGATAATGGTTCTGTTGCATCATGTTGTTGTTGTTATTAGGTGCCATCGAGTCAGCACTGACTGATAGTGACCTTATGCACAGCAGAATGAAACAATGTCCGATCCTCGGCCAACCTCACTAATGTTGCCACACTTGAGTCCATCGATGCTGCCACCTGGCCAATCCATCTCGTTGAGGGGGAGGGGTCTTCCTCTTTTTCTCTGACCCTCCATCTTACCAAACATGATATCCTTCTCCAGAGACTGTTCTCTCCTGACAATATGTCCAAAGTATGAGAGACAAAGTTTAGCCATCTTGGCCTCTAAGGAGCACTCCGGCTGCACTTCTTCCAAAACGGATTTATTAGTTCTGTGGGCAACCCATGGCACTTTTAGTATTCTCCTCCAACACCATAACTCAAAGGCATCAATTCTGTGGTTGTTGCATCACAGTGGTGGTATTAAAAGGCCTGATAAGTCCTGGGTCAGTTTCTGTCTGGATTTGTAGTAGGAGTACCTACTCTATACAGTAAGGCTGGGAAACATTTTCTAGGGAAAAAAAAGACATTTTTGTTGTTGTTGTTGTTGAGGGTTGATAGATGAGTGAAAGATCCTAGAGCACTAAGACTTCAGAGTGTCCTCAATACAGAATGGGGTTTATTTGGACATTATAGATTGCAGTGAAGAAGGAAGGCTAACTGCCAGAGACCCCTGATGAATTGTCATTTGATTTTTTGAATGCTGCTTCCATGATCATTGATTGTAGATCTGAACAAATCAAAGTCTTTGACAATTTCAATCACCTCTCCATTTATCATGACGTTATTTATTGGTCCAGTTGTGAGGGTTTTCATTTTCTAGTTGTGAGGGTTTTCATTTTCTAGTTGTGAGGGTTTTCATTTTCTAGTTGTGAGGGTTTTCATTTTCTTTACATTGAAGTGCAATCATACTGAAGGCTGTGGTCTTTCATCTTCCTCAGTAAGTATTTTAAGTCTTCTTCAATTTCAAAAGCAAGATTATTCATCAGCATATCACAGGTTGTTAATGAGTCTTCCTCCAATCCTGATGCAACGTTCTTCTTAGAATCCAGCTCCTCAGATTATTTGCTCAGCATACAGACTAAATAAGAATGGTGAAAGAATACAGCCCTGATGCACAACTTCCCTGATTTTAAACAATTTACCATCCCCTTGTTCTGGTCCAATGACTGCTTTTTAGTCTATGTACAAGTTCCTCATGAGTACAATTAAGTGCTCTGGAATATCCATTCTACACAGTGTTATCCATCGCTTGTCATGATCCTTATAGTCAAAAAGGTTTTGCATAGTCAATAAAGCACAGGTAAATCTCTCTCTGAAGTCCTGGTGTGGCACTGTAGGATAAGCACTGGTCAGTGGTTCAAACTCACCAGCCACTTCTTGGAAACACAATATGGGGTTGCTATGAATCAGAACCATCTCAAAGGCCCTTTTTCTGCTTTTAGTGAATATCTACCTGATGCCAGCAATGCTATACCTCATTCCACATCCACTTCTGATTTGACTTGGATTTCTGGGCATTTCCTCTTGATGTACTGCTGCAGTAGGTTTTGAGTTCTCTTCAGCAAAATTTTACTTGCATGTGATATATTATTTGATGATTTTCACATTCCATTGGATCTCTCCCAATCTAGCTGGCCAGGTAGCTTTCAAGTTTCATGACATAAAGGATGAGTGAATGCTTCCAGTGCTGCATCCATTTGCTGAAAGATTTAAATTTGTATTCTATCAATTCTTGGAGCCTTATTTTCACCAATGCCTTCAGTGCAGCTTGGACTTCTTCCTCCAATACTGTCAGTTCTGATCATATGATACCTTTTGACATGGTTGAACATTGACCAATTCTTTATGGTACAGTGACTCTTATATTCCTTCCATCTTCTTCTGATGCTTCCTGAATCATTCAATTTGCCAATAGAATCCTTCAATATTACAACTTGAGACTTGAATTTTTTCTTTAGTTCTTTCAGGTTGAGAAATGCAGAGTGTGTTCTTCCCTTTTGGTTTTCTCACTCCAGGTCTTTGCACATTTCATTATAATAGTTGCCTTTGTCTCTTTTGAGTTGATTTTCTGTTCCTCATTTTTTTCCAATTTGCTTCTCTACGCTTAGGAGTCTCTTCTGAAATCCATTTTGGTGTTTTCTTTCTTTCCTGTCTTTTTAATGACCTTTTGATTTCTTCATGTATGATGTTCTCTGTATCATCCCACAACTCTTCTGGTCTTCAGTCATTAGTGTCTAATGCATCAAACTTATTCTTGATGTTTCCAGTGTCTATTAAAGTCTGTTTAAGAAACAGACCCAGATCCAATCTTCTGCACAATAAAGTAGCAACTTCTTTTCTTTTACTAAAGCAGAAACATTTAAGAAATCTATGAAATAAAGAGAACTTCTTTCACCTGTTAAGGGCATTTTAGTGGTTGCTGTGGTGTACTGTCCAGATTTTCCCTTCAGGATTTAGGAGTCTGTCTCAACTGCTGGGAATGTTGGCAACTGCCAACCCTCCACTGTGTCATTCTCAGGCATTGTCTTCAACCAAAGACTCTCCTCATCCACCCTCTCCCGGAGGGCACTCTTTTATCCAATGCCTGGTTAAGGTGAGATATAAAGGCCTTTGTCTCAAAAGAAAAAAAAATACTGTTTACAGTAATGACAAAAAGCTATAATACCAATAATGAATCTTTAAAAATCAGCAAGCCCTTTATATATATATATATATATATATATATATATATATATATATATTATTTTTTAAAGATTATTTAGAAATGTATACAAAGGGAGCTGCGGTGGCCATGACAATACATATAACTTTCAACCTTCCAACTACAGTAGCAAGGCTCTGAAAACTTCTTAGATACTACCAAATGCCTTGAGCAAATGAGTTCCTGGGTCTGGAATCTCAGTATCATAGATTTGGGGGACACCGTGGCCACCTGAAATAGCATCGTCCGCAAAGACAATGTTCCACATCCTGCTTTGGAGAGTAGCGAATGGGATCTTAAAAGCTCATGAGCAGCCATCTAAGGTGCAACTACTGGTCTCTCTTTGTTCGGAGGAAAGATGAGTGATGAAAATTGAAGATGCTTGGAAACAATTAATCCAGGACTAAAGGACCACGTGAACATCAGTCTCAATGATCCTGAAACCAGAATAATTAGATAGTGCCAAGTTACTACTACCAACTGTTCTGAAAGGGATTTCATTAGAAGGTTCTGGAAAGAGTGGGAGAAAATGAGGAACTAAACTGAAAATTATAAAAAAAAAAAAAGACCAACAACAGGAGTATACTACATTGGAGGGCTACAGCTGCTGCCCTCTGAATGCACCCCAGCCCACACTGTCCACATACAATGAATAACTGAATGCTCCAGAGTTATTAAAGCAGGCCCATTCCAGGAAGATATGGAACTCATCTGATAGGTACCTAAGGACTTGCTTAACTTTTCTTAGATGTCACAAAAGTCTAAGACATTTCTACCCATCATTCTTCCCTCTCTTTTTTGCTCAGAGTCAAAATGAACTCATGAACTGAGGATTCCATCAGCTTCTTCCAACTACCTCCCCATTTTGTTCATAGGATTTTAATAAAATCTTTGTGTATGTAACCCCAGATTGGCATCTGGTTTTTGGAGAACCCAACTAACATAGGAGCCTGTGCTTTAAGGGGAGAGACAGGGAAAGTATGGGAGAGGTACAAGAGGGTAAGTCAAAAAGTGTTGTGACTACGGTGCCAGTTCATATATTCACAGTTTATACCAAACAAAACATGTTTAAACTTGTCTTCATAATCAGTATGAGACTGAAAACAATTCCTCCCAGTAATACACATGTCTTACTCTCATTGTTGTTGTAGTTAAGTACCATGGAGTCAGTTCCAACTCATAGTGACCCTACAAAGGGTTTCCAAGGCTGTAAAACTTTATGGGAGCAAAAAGCCTCATCTTTCTCCCGCGGAACAGCTGGTAGTTTCAAACTGCTGACCCTGAGGTTAACAGCCCGATTTGTAACCACTATGCTACCAGAGCTCTCATTAGGTTGCCCCCAAAACAGGACTCAATCAAAAGAGTGACTTCCAAGAAGATATGCTGTGCTGGTTAAATTCAAGGCAGAAAGATCAGTTCAGAAGGTTATAGCAGCTATATTTTGGAATGCTAAAGGGGTAATATTGACACATCTTCTCACAGGACACAGTCTGATTATAGGGGCTTATGAAGAACTTTCAAGAAAACTGAAAACTGTATTGTGAAGGAAAGGGCCAAGAAAGCTATGCTGATGAATTTTTTCCATCATGACAACACACCTGGCTCATTCTTTAAGGGCAGCAAGTGCTATCCTACAAGCATTTCATTGGGAAACATTACCTTATCCATCCTGAAGTTCTCAAATTATCCCTTCAGATTCCTTTTTCTTACCCAAACTCAAAGAACATTTAAAAGGACTCAGTTTGAGTCCAAGGATACCAAACTTGCTTTTTAAATATGATATAAATAAAAAAGTACAGAATCATTTGGGGATGGGTTTGAGAGAGGGAAATACTACCTTCAGAAATATATGACCTACATGGGGGATATGTTGAGAAAAAATAGCTTCATATTTTGATATTTTTAATAAAAATTTCCATGATTTAATAGTTATATATATCCTGGTGTGGCGCTGTGGGTTAATGCGCCAGACTGCAAAGCCATTTGAACTGCAAGGTCACCAGTTCAAGCTTACCAGTGGCTCCTCGGAAACCCATACAGAGTCACTATGGGTCAGAACCAACTCAACGGGACTTAACAACAACAACTATATATATAGTTGGTGTTGCTAAGTGTGTAATTGATTCCAATTCATAGTGACACTATATATCAAATATAGATATATACACATTATTGTTGTTAAGTACCATTGAATCAGTTCTGACTCATAGAAAGCCTGCATAGGGTTTCTGAGGAGTAGCAGGTGAGTTTGAACTGCCGACCTTGTAGCTCTCAGTCCAGTGCTGATACTACAGCACCACACAAAGAGTCCATAATCTTTGTTAAACTATATAATTTACATGCAATGAAATTTCCCCAATCTTAAGTCCACAGCTTGATTTATTTTAAAAAGTGTATACATTTATAAAATCAACACTACAATCATAGTGCAAAACATTTCCATTACTCTCAAAAGTTTTTTTCTTGACTCATAAAAATCAATTCCCTTCCCCGAAACCTGACCCCTAACAAGTACTGCTCTACTGTCACTATGCTTTTGACTTTTTTAGGATGTCATCTCACTGGAATTATGCAGTCAGGACCAACTACATGATTTGGAGAGTCTGGTGCAATAAAAACACAGGGCCACTTGTTAAGAATTTCAAGACATATGCTGCATACACACAATGGAATATGTGCAATGTTAAAGACTAATAACAACCCATGAAATTCCCATAGCATGAATAAACCAGAAGGACATATGCTGAGTGAAATAAGGCAACTGCAAAAGGACAAATACAGTATGAGAACACAATTATAAAAAGTCAAGAAAATCTTACATACAAAAAGAAATATTCTTTGATGGTTACTAAGGATAGGAGGGAAGGATAAGAGGGAAAATCACTTAATAGAGAGTAGATATTTGTTAACTTGGATAAAGGGGAAGGCAAAATGCAACAAGGGGAATGACAACACAGTATGACCAAGGCAAAAGAAATCATTGGGAGGTGCCTAAGAATTACAGACCAAAAAGATAAATATTATTACATAGTCCTGGCACTGTGGGTTAATGTGCTGGAATGCAGAGTTGATTTGAACCACAAGATCGGTAATAACAAATAATAATCTACTAGTGGATGCATAGGCAGACATGCAAGCTGAATAGGCACGGGAGACAAATGGGACTACATCCACAAGCATATATACAGATTTGGCAGAAGATATTTCTACATATTTTTTTTAAGTTTTTTTGTTTTTGTGAATTGAGTAATAGTTTACATGGGAGAACATAGGTTTTGCACTCATAGTTTCCTTGCAATGATTACAATCCC